GTCACGCACCCCCGACATGAGCAACCAACCCAGCAATGACCACCAAGATGCCATAGGAAGCACCCTGGGCTCTCCCAAGCTGGGGTGGTGGGAGGCAAGGGCTTTTGCCACGCACCCCTGACATCTTCACCCAGCCCAGCAATGACCAAGCTACTGCTGGAAGCCTCCCAGTCTCCTCTGTGGGAATGTGGGGGGTGCCATTGGCCTCAATCCCACCCCTCCTCCTTCCTCCTTCTTCCATCACATTTCCGTCCCCTTTTCCCTCTCCCTCTCCCTCCCAACTGCTCTGCAACATCATAGAATGAAAAAAATAATATTAATAAAATAAAATAAATAAATAAATGTAAAAGGAAAAAAAAAGATAATACAAATCTTCCCATGAACTTTTCAAAGTACCTGTGAACATGTTATTATTTTTGAATTTTGCTTTCTAATTGTTTGTTGGTAATATGTAGAAAAATAATTGATTTTTGTATGCTGATATTGTATGCTGCAACCTTGCTAAACTAAATATTAGTTCTAGCAGCTTTTTTGTAGATTCCAGCTGATTTTCTACACAGAAGGTCATATCATCTATGAATAAAGGTAGTTTCTTTCCAATCTCTTGTCTGATGGCACTGTCTAGAAACAATAGTCCAATCTTGAATAGATGTGGTAAGAGCAGATATCCTTGAGTTATTCCTGATCTTATGGGGAAAGCATTCAGTCTTTCAAAACTGAACATCATGATGTTAGCTGTAGTTTTATTGTAGATGCCATTTATGCAGTTGGGAATGTTTCCTTCTGTTCTTATTTTGCTGAGAGTTTTTATCAAGAATTGTTGTTGGATTTTGTCAAATGATTTTTCTGTGTCTATTGAGATGATCATATGGGTTTTCTTTTTTAGTTTGTTCATGTGGTGGATTACATTAAATGATTTTAGAATGTCAAACCAACCTTGCATTGCTGGGATAAACTCCACTTGTGGTGTATTATCCTCTTCATATATTATCAGATTCATTTTCATAAAAATTTTGTTTAGGATTTGTGATTCATTTTCTTAATGGGTATTGTGTAGTTTTCTTTTCTTGTAATATCAGGGTACGCCAGCCTTATAGAATTAATTAAGGAGTATTTCTTACTCTTCAATTTCTGGAAGAGTTTGTGTATAAGTGTATAATTTGCCCTCATGTGTAGTTTAAGTACCTTACAATAGTATGCATCCCAATCTTCGTGTTACTGTTTTTACTTTTAAATATGTTATAAGCTCCATACCATACAATTGTTATTGTTTGTATTTAAACAGTCAATTATCTTTTAAAGATATTTAAATAATAAAACTCAATCAGATATTTTTTCATGAAGTTACCATTTCCAGTGCTCTTAATTTCCTGAAAAAAATCCACATTTTCATCTGGTATCATTTTCCCTTTGCCTGAAGGTTATCTAACATTCTACTGTAGGGGTGCTAGGGCTGAATTCTTTCAGCTTTGTATATCTGAAGAAAGTCTTTATTTTGCCTTTGTTTCTAAAAGATATATTACCAGGTAAAGAATTCTAGATTGAGATTTTTCCTTTTTTCTTTCAGTGCTTTCAAGATATTCCTCACTGTCTTCTCGGTTGGCCTT